GGCCCGAAGAAACTATCCGCGACGTCATGTCGTCGTTCACGGTAAAAACGATTTATTCCAAGCAGATCTTGCTGACATGCAACAATACTCCGCTGTGAATAAATCATATAGATTTATCCTGATAATTATTGACTGTTTTACTAAACGGGTGTGGGCTACGGCCTTGAAGACTAAAAAAGGCGAAGAAGTCGCGGCTGCCGCTAGTAAAATCTTCGCACAGAATAGTCCTAACCTGTTACACGTTGACCAGGGGACAGAATTCTACAATAAAAATTTTAAAGATTTAATAAAAAAGCACGATATAAAAATGTATAGTACTTTCAGTGTGCTCAAAGCTACTATAGTAGAAAGGGTTATTCGCACGATTAAGGGGCGAATGTTTAAAGAATTCACTAGCAGAGGTTCACACGAGTGGTTCAGGATTTTACCCTCTGTAATCGATGACTATAATAATTCGACACACAGAACTATCGGGATGACTCCGATGCAGGCAGATGCACACCCGACGCTTGTAAAATTAAATTACGATGTTGAAAAAACCGTGAAAACAAAATTTTGCGTTGGAGACAAAGTCCGCATTAGCGTGTACAAGGGCGTTTTCACCAAAGGATATTTACCCAATTGGTCTACGGAAATATTTACTATTATTAAAGTGAATAAGACTTCGCCTAGTACATTTATCCTCCAAGATTATACGGGGAGCCCGATCGCCGGTGGGTTTTACGCCGAAGAAATACGCAAAACATTGTGGCCCGACGATTATCTGGTGGAAAAAGTAATTCGCACCAAAGGCCCGCGTGTATTCGTCCGCTGGTTAGGTTTTACGGACGAGCATAATAGTTGGATAAATAAGTCCGATCTTAAAATATAATCACAGTTACCACGGGGCGATGGACGCGTTTGGAGGTTCACCGGCCAGCCGGCTGAATAAAGTCATCGCGGATATGGGTGAAAAATATGAAAAAGAGCTCGCGTTACACGTCGATTTAATCGAGATAAATGATGCGAAAATTACTACATTTGGCGAACAGTTTACAAAGGAACTAGCTGTACATAGTAGTATATCCGCGGCGAACGAGAAAAAAATCTCGACGCTTGGTGACGGGGCTCGAGTGATTGAAATGAAAATAATGCAAATAGAATCGACGCTCGTACCGACGGTCGATAAATATTTTTCGGACACCAATAATAAAATTGAATCTTTAATCGAGTCCATAGAGATTGTAAATAAAAATAACAAAGATTTGAAAACTAACTTGGCTAACGCATACTCCAGGATAGTTATACTCGAGGATAGAATCGATGGATATCAGTATTCATCGAAGCTCAGTGCCAGCAAGACGTTTTAATATATAATTATCTATATATTATAATATAGAAATAGCAATCGCGCGAATTATGTCGTCAGCTATTCTAGATATCCAGTGTGTGCTAGGCCCGAACTCGAAATACATGATAAAAGAAATGTCGGTAGTGGACTTAGAGGGGCTGGCTAGTCAACACTGGATTTTTAAACACTCGCGGACACCCAATACAGCGAAAATCGAAGCCGTCAATATGTGGTTGTTTCGCAACTATCACCAACTATCATGGGATTGTGGTGATGTCCAATATACAGAAATCCCGCGGATTTTGAATTCATTACATTTCGAATGCATTTACGTGAAAGGCGAGGAAAAGCGGCAGATCATAGAAGGATTCCTTCCCAATGTCAAAATTTACGAGATGGGTGTAGATTTGGACTGTCCACGACTAGATCAACTACACGAGGCCGGTTTTGCCAGAAATAAACAACACGAGCCGTGTTGTTTACACCATAAGAATTTAAATTATACACAGTGTACATATAACCGAGCTTTCAAATTGTTGAAATGGTTTAAAAAAAATACGTGAAATAATATGCTATATAATATATAATTTAATTTAATTTCTGTACATATTATTTATGGAATAAATATATATTATATTATATAATCGTGTGCTGCGTTTTATTACACAAATATATGTGTGTGTGTGTGTGTGTGTGTGTGTGTGTGTGTGTGTGTGTGTGTGTGTGTGTGTGTGTGTGTGTGTGTGTGTATGTATTTATGTATATGTATATATATATATATAATTGACATCTGGGTTCTACGTTCGCACGGTCTCACGGCCAACTCCGCATTCCTTAAAAATTCTTTTAAAAATAATTTGTAGAATAATATAATATACACGGAATTATATTTCACCCTTATATTATGGGCACGAATATCGAGTTTAGTCCGCTCAAATAGCCACATCTGGCGACGGGCATAGACTGGGTCTGTCAGCCTGCGTCGGCGCCCCGGCGGACACACATGGTCAAGACTGTGAAGGTCGGGCGATTCGACGGACGGACGGATGCACGTGGTCAAGACGACACATTCCGGTATACAACGCGCAGGATCCGCTCTAGGATCGACCTTTTTCACTCTAATTTACACATGTGTGTATATCAATCGGTACAATATTGCGCACGCCGAACGATTTAGGTGGGGGTGGCCGTCGATGGCGATGGACACTTGTCCGCTGTCCACTCAATATTGAATCAGTCCTATTTTCTCGCCCGCTCAAAACAGTCCTCTCCAGATATCATCAGTCGTCAGCTCAAGTCATAAATATTACAACATCTATCCGTACGAATAAAGTGAGTTTTATTTAATTATTATTATTATATGCTGACGTATATTACACGACTGTAAAGGACCGCTCGATTTCATTGGAGAATTTTTCATATATTATATGAAATTAAAAGGAGTTTTATTTTTATTTTGCAGTTTTGATTTCATTCCCTCGTCACATTCAACAACCGCGTCAAGCCATCCGCAACTACACGACCTACTAAAAATTAAAGTGAGTTAATTAATTAAACAATTTTATACACAATTATATCAAACATAATTTTAATTCGATATTAATAATCGATATTTTTGTTTTAGTTCATCTCGACCCTGTAGTTCACCTGCAAAACCCGTGTCACCATATCGAACTCTTTGTCAAATATCGAAAACTTAAAGTGAGTCAATTTTTACTCTAATAAAATAATAAAAATATCTATATTGCGGTAGACGTGTACAACTAGCGTTTAGACAATATATTTTATATCTACCATTTTTTTTTTTTTTGTTTACAGAATGGCATTTTTACAATCATTAAAAGCGCAAGTGAATTGCAAGAATCTTTCGGTCGGTGAACTCCTCAAGGACGTTCCATACACCATACGGTCTATGAAAAATGTCGACACCAAATTTGGCACTGCGGTATCGTGTATGCTAGCGGATCCCGAAGGCGTTGGCTCAATCAACGTGTTTCTTCCGAAGACAATCAGGATGGACGAAGTGGAAATTGAAACCTACAATCTGGGTGTAGTACCGCCTGTTAGCCTCATTTACAAGGGGTTAAATAGAAGGAGTTTTATAATAGATTTCCAATGAAATCACATTAACCTTTATTATTTTATTGTTTTATTATTTAAATAAAAAAATTTGAAAATATGTTATTATTTACATTTTATCTAGATCCTATAATTTTAATAATTTTTGAATCGATGCAAATGAATGATACATTATATACATTTAACAGGTTATATGGTAATCCTCGTAAATATGAGGTGGTGAAATATTTTATTATTTTATAGTTTGTCGTTTTTTTTTTTTTTTTTTTTTTTTATACGCATTTAGGAGACGTATAATATAATTGTATACATTTAGCGTGTAGTATAATAATTATTCTCACGAAGATGAGATGGTTTTTTTATTTAATATTATATAAGGTTTATATTATTTAAAAATGATATCAGTAAGCATTTAATAAAAATTTTATGGAGTACGGGAAAAAAAAAAAATTCAGAAACAAAAATGTAGTATATAATAAAATTTTATTTAAAATACATTATAGGATTATAAATATACATATCCATGTCAAATTTCAACAACAGTATTTTTTTCCAATGAAGAGTTTCTTTAGGGGGACTGGCATCCCACAAATGAAAGCCGCTCATATGAAGAGACTGTGCATCGTCTGAAAATATGACGCGCGATTTAGTTTTTATTTTTTAAAAAATACTAAAAGTAGCAAATTTATTTATATATATTCTAGTATATATATATATATATATATTAAGACTCACTTAATATTTCTCCGCTGTCGGGGAATTGTCCGGATATCAGGTGTAGCATAGGTAACGGCGAGCTCGAGTCTGGTGATTTCCACGGAAATCTCTGTCCTGCATGAAACCCGAGTGAATAATTGACGGAGGGTTTTTCGACTTCGACTACTCGTAACTTGTAATCGCGCGGATCGTACGATTCCGCGAATAAATCAGGTGACTAAAAATAAAATAAAATAAATTTTAATTTAAGTAGAGTGGTACAAAATTATAAAACTTACCGCGCATCGAGACTTGAGCCCATATTCGAAAAACAAGCACTCCTCTGACGACATATTAATATATCGTTCTTACACGCGAGTAAATGTTTAACTCCAAAGACTGACTGACTGACTGACGGAGAAGTGCTAGCCATCAGAACACCGTATGTAGGCATATCAAATATCCTCGTCCGCTTCTTATCACAGCGCGAATGGGCGGGGGTTTTTTAAAAATAATAATAATAATAATAATGTTGTCGAGACCTCGGTAAGATAAGGGTGAGTATTCGATTAGATAAGGATAAGAAGATAAAGATGAGGTAAAATATGATAAGGATGAGAAGATTAGGTTGCGATACTAAGATAATAATTTAAAAACACGAGATTAAATACAAAACGTAGTTAATATAATATTTTAGCATCGTACACTCTCATATTTTTATATACAACGGTTGTATTTCACGATTATACAATTTATACAGATATTTTAATAGATTATAAATATATATATATATACAGATATGAGATCGTTGAACAATAATAACAATAACAATAATAATAATAATAACAATAATAATAATAATAACAATAATAATAATAATAACAATAATAACAATTTAATAATTTATGCGGTGATGACCGTGCGCGTACGTCGAAATGTTGTCCGGTAACACGTAACGCTTGTCGTCTGCCCTGTTCAAGACGAGTTTCATAGATCTAATTGTGCGTAACTCGTGCTTAAACGAGCGTATAGACACATTTTCCCTATACGGCGTGAATGGCATGTAGCTGTAGACGTGGGATGGATGCGTGGCCGCCGCCGCCGCAACCGTCGTCGACGAGTTGGTTGAGCCGGTTGAGGCGTTCCGATGAATTTGAGCGACAGCTTTAAGTGCGGAATCGGCAGCGAACATTTTCCCCATATTTGCGTCGAATTCGTCGTCGCACTCGTCGGATTCCGCATCGTCGTCCACGTCGGCAAACAAACACCTCTTATGCTCGGCGAATGTGAGGTGATTTCTAATAACGTGCCTCATGACACCCTTCGAGCGAATTGTGACCTCCTGTTCCACGTCGTATGCATACGATTTCGCTCGTAACGCGACATACTCGTAGACTGTACGGGAATTGGTTTCGTTTTTAAAAAGACCCGGCACCCGTTTCCTCAAAGTTGAATAACATTTGTGGTCTTTCGGCAAATTGGAAGTATCCATGAACCGCATCAGATTTGGGTTGTCTATCAAGTCGGCGTAAAAATCGTCTGTCACCACGCGGTAGAATAGTGAATCTGAAACATTTAATAATAATAATATAAAATAAAAACTGCGTTAGACTGCATTAGTTCGATATAGACGTACCGGTATCTGTGTAAAGTAATTCGATCTTATCTCCGTAATGTCTCTTCATAACGTCATAGTGAAATCCGTACATTAGAACTTTGCTGAGTTCCAGTACGGTAAATCCTATATATATCGGCTTACAGAAATCCACTTCTTTACTGTGCTGCGTGACCGCCGATAGATTTTCGTTGTACGTCGTGCAGTACTTGAATGTGGGACGGTTTATCAGCTTTCGCATCCTGGCGGGGCAAGATACGAGTTCCAAGTTGAATCTGGCCCGCATATTTTCAATCGATTTCCCTGCAGACATACAATAATCACGATGTAAAGCTTGTACCGTTTAAAGCTCGGAAAAATAAAAATTATAAGTAAATGGTTAAATTGTGAAATAAATTTATAAGAAAACGTACCGAACACTGAATTATTCAAATCTTTAAAAAATTGTTCTTCAAATTTGTTCGCCGCCTGTCTGCGTAATTCGGTGTTAAAATTGATGTATGGCGCTAACCACGGGGATTGGCGGAACTCCAATACTCTATGTGTCTGTAATGCGTACGAAAAAGTTATAAGATGCGATTCGTATACAAATAATAATAATAATAATAATCACTTTTTCGACTACCACACCGTGGGCCATGGCCTGTTTCAAATTCATATAATGAACTACATAACGTTCTTTCCTCAAAAAAGTGACCATCAACTTTCGCACTGAGGACCCGTGTGGTATGCTGGCGTGGGGCAAGAACGGCATATCGTTGTGGGCGTCGTGCAGGTGTTGAGGATACGAGATGTCTACTTCATAAATTCTACCCACGTCGTCCGTCTCGCCCATCCACTCCAGCTGGGCCAGCGCGACTTCCGGATTCCCTGGGTACCATGTGAAATCGCTAATAGGCATATACTTGCACATCGCGTACCCGTACAAATTGTTTGCTAAATTATTATGGAAAAAAACGGATTAATATACACACATATATAATTTATATTATAATATAATCACCATCCAAGTATATGAGAGACGTGCTAGGTTCGTCGGCATTGTATCCCGGCGTCGCGGGATTGTTGGCACGAGCGTGACGCCTACTAGCCTGCACCAGACCCCCGCGCGTCCCTGCCTCAGTAAACAGAACTTTCTCGAAATCAGTTAAAAGTTCAAGTTGAACTTTTGTAAACTTTAGCATGCAGTCAAAACTGAATCCGGGCGACGTGTAGTAATGCGCGGGGTCCAGGTGATATGTGGCCATACATATATCCCTGAAATTCTCGAACACGTCGGCGCTTAACACCACGTCGACTTTAAGGTATAAATCGCTATAAGCGCCGAGTGAGGTGCAGGCGAAATGATTCCAGACTCTGGTCGCGTGACTATAATCCTCGTCGCTCACGTGCGTCTCCGTCAACGCGCTGTAGAATTGGAACTTATCCGGCAGCGACGTAGCGTCCAATTTATCCCACGAATCTGTATATTCATACGGGTATACGCCTTTCCGCGTGACCAACTCCATCTCCGAAGGGGCGAACACTTTCGCGACTTCGCGAAACTTGTCGAAATTTGCGGTGGTGAGGTTCTCCGCCAAGTGTGCCAAGCTCGACGCCATGAACCGGCACGTGTCTATGAACCTGACGGAGAACGAGTTGTTAATATACCTCGAGAATGAGATATATTTCTCCTCGGTGTTCGCTATTACCGAAATTCTGTTAGTGTCACCCCCGTTCGCCAAATTCGTCACGATAAAATGCGCGTCGTAATTGGACAGATTGTGCAGGTAGCACGGCACGAAATTAGGTGTTTTTAATTTGAGGTTGCACGTGTTGCACAACGTTTTCAGAAAACGTCCCGACAAGTGGTCGTGGTGTGCTGTTTTACAGTTGCGCTCACTAAACGCACAGCCACACAAGTCGCACATTTTCTTGACGCCGTGCACGCGACTATCCTCAACACTCATAATAATCGGTACAATTACTTCCTTGTATAATCTGGCTATCTTTTCGGCCACGCAGAGCACGTCGCTGACAAAACGCTCGGCCACATCGTCATCGGTCACCGAACCACGGAAAATGACCGGAGCCCGCGGTATATCGTACTGGTCGAACAAGTCTGTCGGCACCCCCTCCGCTGCGATGACCAGGTAGCCGTAACTCATGGGGTGGTGTGTGTGTATCGCAGTGGTATTCGCGCCTTGTCTCCGGTCCGTTTTCAGTAGTAGGGCTTCAAAGTCGGCATACACTACGAACGGTAGACGTTCAGTCTTACGCCACGCCTCGAATTTTAGCGTGTCCCCTTCTTTAGGCATTAGAGGTAATACGGGTTTGTGCTCACCGCATAACAATCGATGCTTAGCCAACGCCCGTTCGCCGTGCAATTTATATTTCAGAGGTTGATTGTCGAAGCTGGCGAAGCATCTCTTGCAGAAAAATAAACGATGATCATGGCTATTTTTTTGCGGACTTGCTAGGCGCGAAAAATTCGAAATATAAGCATAATGGTTGTCACCATCCTTCCCGGTGATTAGGAGGAGGTCGAAATGATTTTCCTTTTCTTCGTCTACGACGCGCAGTGGATATGCGACGGATTGTGTGGACGACTTTTAATTTTTTTTATTTTTCGCGCATTTTCTTACGCCGTATAAATTGACGCTCGTCCCGGGATTTGACTTTTCAAATAACATTAACTCCGACACGGGGGTGGGGGTCGATAGTGCAGAAAAGTCGTAGCGGTGTTCTTCCCTAGAATAATTTGCACCTACTCGTGTGCGATTGTCATGTGACACGTGTTTGGCGAGGATCGCCCACTTGAAGCATTGCCGGTCGATATTTTTAGGGTTGACGACTGCTTTCCGGTTCAGAATACTCTCCGGCAACGGTAAGTACGACGATCCCCCCATAGGCGTATATTCGTACACACCCAAGAGCAGTCCGTCGATACACGATAAGGTGAACCCGCTATACTTTCCGGCGTAAGAGTCTTCTTCCCCCAGGAGCCTTGTGAAATCGCGATCGACCAAAGCCTCGACATTACTGTGCACGTATAATTCGCGGGCCGAAGTTTTAAACGCACGGTTTTGATCTGAATTGTGTAAATTTGGTACGACATATGTGGCCTCTAATTTCAGGTTGTATTTGATCGGGTTAATACGCCCGCACTCGCGTAATTTCGCGACTAATTCGGACTCTATTGAATTTAGGAAAGCTCGGTAACTTGTCACATTATCGATATTTTTCCTAAAATACCACACGATAGTACGATTGAGCGAAGACTCGATCTCAATAAAGCCCGGCCTATTTACCCTTAGCATACGTGACTTTTTCCGTTTGATGTTTTTCGGAGTATTTTCTGTATGAGCAACAAATTCCCCGGTTGGCGGCGGTGAAAGCGAAAGCGGTAGTGCGGCGGTCGCGGGGGATCTTGCGTCGGGTTCGTCGACGATAGGCTGTGCGGGTGGCGGGGAAACGATAATCGGTGTCCGGCTGGACAATGACGATGATGAGGCTTGAGGTTGGGGGGTAGGTATGTCCGCACGACGACGGCGTGACGAGATGACCGTCGGAGTCAGAACATCTGGCCGAGCATGCGGTGTAGCGGCGGAGGGTGCCCACTTTATGACTGATGTGCGACCTAACATATATATAATTAATATATTATTATTATTATTATTATCGTTATTATTATTATTTATAAGAGAAAAAAATTATTTACCCATTGCACCACCTACTCGTACAGCACTGTGGAATTCTGGAGTGTTTTTAGCGATCTCTATTTTAAAAATAATTTAATTAATAACCCTGAGTATTGTCGATACGAAAAAAACATCGTATGTGTATTTTCCGGGTTGATGAAAAATAATAATATTCAATGTACTTACTATGACATTTTTGAACGTGAATATTGAGGTTGTTCCGCTGGACGAACGTCTTGAAGCATATTCCACACGAAATCACTGATCCATCGTGGGTTTTAGCGTGTCTGTTCAAATCGCGCTTATGTACGTACACTTTTTCACATAACACACAGTTAAACATTTTTAAATATTTTATACTAGAGAAGTTATTTTAACGGAGTGAGCGAGGTAATACGAATGTACACCAGTTGTCGTCGAGTTGCACTGACCGTCTGATTTGTAGAACATATGCGCTGGCGGTGGACCCGAATATCGGATGCTGTGGTGGGCGGTCGGGTGGTGAGGGGTATCGGACATTATCTATAAAGGCTGTAGAAATATTCGACCGCTAGTACCAAGTGCTGCTGGGGTATAATAAATTTTATAATTAACGGACGCAATATGCACATGTGTCGACCATGATAACGACACCAGCGGTGATAATAATATTTTGCAGATCTGCCTACGACTGTTAACACTGTTATCTGATAACTGAAGATAACTAAATATTTTAATTTATATTATTATTATTCTGTATATGTATTGCAACGCCCGCTAGCTTTCGGCATATAACCGACAGTTGCTTACAGACGGTTACACTGGTTAGAAGCGTCTTATTCACGTTTAAACGTTAACAGTTGGAACGCATTATTTACGATTTAAAATATTTTTCTACGATTCATTTGCAATGAATATATTACAATGTACCGTCGGTTGCCGATCACTAGTGCTTTTGGTACATGATAACTCTGATCCGGAATATCCTCAGTATACAAGCTTTTTATCGAGGTTGAAAACATTCGATTCACACCCGGCTCGATCGTGTCAAGATAAATATTCACTGGCCGCCAGCGGATTCACTTATACCGGGACCGAGGATTTGGTTCAATGTCACTACTGCGGGTTATTGTTGGGGCGATGGGAGGAAAATGACGAAGTGTGGCAGCAACACGCCCTGCACAACCCTAAATGTGTATTCGTATTATTGTATAAAGGCATGGAATTTATTGAAAATGTAAAAAATGAATTTAATCTCAAACGTAGTGATAATAGAGGCATTCGAGACTGTCGTCGTTGTAAATCAGAACCGTATGATGTTGGTAATAATCGCGATAATAGTAATAGTCAAGCCCGTATATGTAAATCTGAATCGTATGATGTCGTCGGGTGATAAACACCCATGTTCATTATAACACAATAACCTATATAATATGTATGTATATGATATTTGTATTGAATAAACATCGAATTATATTAAACAATTAAATCGTGTTAGTATTTGACTTGGTATCCTGGTAAAAGTATGTATGTATGTATGTATGTATATATATATAATATGATAAGGATAATATTGAAATATAATATGATAAAATTCGAAAAACCGCGTCCGTCCGATTAGCGCCTAGATGGCGCCCCGTCGGTGATAATATAATACGATGAGCCCGCCGCGTCGCGGACAGAGCGCGCCGCGGACGGGGTGGACGCCACGCGGCGAGCGTCTAATGGGCGGGGCGGTGCGGAGGTGTAGCGGGGTGGGGTGGTGTGGCGTACGTTCCCGAGGGCGGGGGCGGTGTTGAAGTAGGTATAGGTAGGAGGTGAGGCGGGGGGTTATCAAGCGTGGACAACGTTACCGAGGTATGGTTGGGGTGGGGTGGGGACCGTGATGACGTAGGTATTGGTAGAAGGCAAGGTGGGGGGTTACCAAGCGCGATCAACGTGACCGAGGTATGGTTGGGGGGTGAGGCGGGGGGATATCAAGCGAGGTGGAAGTTACCGAGGTATGGTTGCGGGGTGAGGCGGGGGGTTATCAAGCGTGATCAAGCGCAGTATAGGCGGAGGGGGTGGTGAAGCGGGGGGTTATCAAGCGTGGTCAACGTGGGCGAGGTATGGTTGGGGGATGAGGCGGGGGGTTATCAAGCGCGATCAAGCGCGATCAAGCGCGATCAAGCGCGATCAAGCGCGATCAAGCGCAGTATAGGCGGGGGGGTGGTGAAGCGGGGGGGACCCAGAACCGGCTATTTCATACTACTATAATATATTGGCCGATAAAGTTCTGATTGCGATAGAAAGTGTAGTGAATTCTTTAGGTTTTATAATTTATTATTGTTTAAAGGCACGCAATACTCACACGAAAGTATGTTTTCAGATTTATGTTTATACATTTTCTAACTTCTAAAATTTAATACCATAATTTTGTCATATTAATATATTAAATTATAAATTATTGGTAGGTGCCTACTCTCAATATTATTTGTTTACTACGAAGTTCAAATTCGGTAGTCGTTTAAATCCATACAATCACTGTTCAAAATGATAAAAATAATTAACTACATTATTATTAATCGCTTGCAGTTGAATTTAATTCAAATCCAAAATGTGTGTCGATATTAAATCGCATTATATTTTCAGCAATTTTATAAAAATAGCCATTGTTGAAAATCCTATCTCAAATCGACTTTCGACACGTCGAATTAATTAATACATACGTTACACTTGGTAAAATAATTATTTGATGATAAAATAATTCGGTTTTGTTAGCTGATAATTTTAATTTTGTAGTTTCTAAACAATTCACTATTAAAAGGGTGTAATGTTATAACTTCATATATTTAATATTTCAATATTTGTACAATCACTAACTGCCAAACGAAGGGGCTGTGCTAAAATTTAAATGATCATTGGAAAGTATAGCTCAGTACCTATTCAGCTTTTAGAACTCTCATGCCATTTCACCCTAACAGGTGAATCTGAAATATATTATGTATTTGATAACCGTATCGACCGAATGAAAAATGTATAAAAATAGTCAATAAATTCTATTATATATAATATAATTCCCCTTTTATATATTATTTGAGTTGTTGATTAGTGGAAAAGTACATTGGTTGGCCGCCTAAAATATATTAGTAGTTATACAAGTATAGTTTTCAAATTTTCAACATTTTATAAAACTGTCGGCCCCCTCACTAGATGATATTAATTTCGTCCTAATCGTCTTCGAGGACACAATATTATTATACCGGGTCGTGGGTAGGCACGATCGCGCGTGTCGGCGACGATTTTTAATTGGCGCCGGCTGGAAACTTTCGACCGCGAGTTTTTCGTCGCCGGAAACTTTTGCCCGGTCGTACATATTTTATACCGATCGATGGCGGCGACGGAGGCGGTGGTAGTGCATAATAAATCGCCGACCAAGGTAGTAACTTGTACGCGCTGACCGACATAATATTGTATGTCGAACAGCGCACGACGGCCGTCGCCATTTTCTCAACTCTAATTTCAGTCGAACCGAGTATACCTAGTATACGGTTTAAGAGATGAGCGCCAATAGGAGATGAGAAAAAAAAATTTGTATCGTCCGAAATCCTATAGATACCTGCAGGTACTGCATGCAGTGTAATAAATAGATATTAAATTTAAAAGTATATTCAATAAATTTTGTATTGAACATTTTTTACAAGACCGAAAAAATCAACCGATTTATTCTAATTATATTTATTTGTATTTATATTATTTAATAACAATATATTATTGAATTACGTATTATTGGTTGTGAGTGTGTAAGACGGAGACGACACGTCATAATATTACGAGGGCACGACGTCCCCTTAAATTTTCGAGTCAATTGACAAAGTCGAATTTCTTTTACGGAGGACTGCATAATAATATAATAATATAATATTGTTCAGTCCGAACATAATAATAATATAAATTTCGAGATGATAATGAGGTCTGTGTTATATCAATGTCATTTTTAACTAGCTACTTAAATCTACTTTTTTGTCGTTATTTTTTGACTCGATTTATTTTCGTATGATTTCTTTTCATTAAAAAAAAAAAACTTTATGAGTTGTAGTTGATTTACTGCGTCATGCGATATTTCACTTTAACAAAGAACTTTTATTTTTACATGAAACGAACAAGCACAACAGTGCAGTAGTATTATAGTGTAATAATATATAGTTAAGTGGGCGAAGTATTTTGTTTTCATTTGAAATTAAATACAAATCAATATTGCAACCTGTCCTTAGTTTCGGTTTATAACTTATACGTAAGTACCTACAAACGAGTCTGCCGAATATGTCAATAATGGTATTTGACAATATTATTATGTCCGGCAAACGCTTAACACTACGTCCTCACACGATTTACAACGACACAATTTATAATGCTATAATGCACCAGACCTTATTGAATTATGTAAATATGTCGCGAAGTCATTTCGATATAATGTGTTTTGCGAAATTCAGTTGATACCTACTAATAATTATTAATCGTCAGTTTATAAATCATTAACTGTTGAAATCACTAGTTCCAAAAATATGTTATCCTAGCTGATCCCGTAGAAATTTACAACTTTGAGAAAAAAAATTGCGATTGTTCGACAACTCCTTTTGGGTGCAGCTCAGCCTCACTGG